CGCCATGTGGTCTCCTCCGGGGCAGGCGGCAGGCGGGAATCGAACTCATAGGGAAGTGGCTTCAGATTCTCAGTGCTGTGCTTTAACCCGCTGCGCCACCAGGGAGGGCCGTGAGTGAGCTTTTTAAGCAAACAAAAGTGCGTTTTGTGATTCTGTGCAGGGAGTAAAAATGTAAGAGAGGGTTCCAGGACTGGGTGCGGCAGAGAACAGAATCAGTCGTCCAGAGTGCCTCCTGCCAGGTGTATTATTTTTATTTTAATTTACTGTTTTTCTCTCTAGCTAGGTCTTGATCCTACTAACCTGGACTCACCGTGCGTTTCAAGCTTGGACTTCAGCAGCTCAAGGAAATGTAGCTCAGCGGCTTGGCTTGTAACCCAGAGCGTACGGACAGGTCTCCGTGGCTGCGTTTCGGTGCGTCTGAACACAACTTTCTTGTTCTGTGTTTCATGATAAAGCTGCCAACAGCCCTCAGCACCAGAACTCTTTAGTGCTGGTCTCCGCCCTTGGCATTTCTGCCAGCGAGTCGCAGTGCAGGTCACTGTGAACGGCCAGTGATGGACTTGTTGAGGGCAAATCCAAGGCAGTGGACATCTTTAGAACACACTTGGGGAGCAGATTAAACTAGAAAATAAAAACAGACACCATCTTGCCTTTGATTAATTACAAAAGTAGGAAGGAAATATTTTCATTTTCCTCTTTCCTTGCTTTTGACTTTTATCCAAATATTTGAATACCTACTGGCTTTGGGGCTCTTGGATCACAGGCATCAGCTTGAGGGTAAGAGACTCAAGGCTTTTCCCCCTAACATTGCTATCATCCTAGAGCTTGATGGACAGTTACTTAAATTTTTTTGCAGTGAAACAGTTTGTAAACGATATTGCAGTGAAGCTCTTTACACATACATTTTGGTGAGAATACACTTAAGTAAATATTTAATAGTAAAGTTGTTGGGTGCAGTGTATTATTACTCAATTTTCATTGGACTGTCCTGTAGAGAAGTGGCAAGAATTTACACTCCTACTGATAAACGTTTTCTCAGACACTTTGTCTTGTCAAAACCAAATTATTCAGTGTGGTGGGTGTAAAATGTTATGTCAACGCTAGCTTTATTTACTTATTTTTAATTTACATCCAGTAAGATCTCACTCTTTAGGTGGAGTTAAAAGAGCTTTTTCAAACCCTTAAAGCATCATTCCTTTTACCAGATTTATTTTCATTTCTAATAAATCTCTGCTTGCTACTTATCAATGAACTTGGAAAATTCCAAAAGTTAGTAAGAAAGTTCTCTTGCTTCTACCATTATAAAGCAAATCAATACTACCATCTAATGATAGCATTGCGAGCATTTTTGTATATTTCTTTCTGCTTTTTCCTAGGTTTAGCTTTTCGCCCTCAAGCTGTCATCATTAAATTGTGTTACATTCTTAAGTGTAATATTTATTAGTGATAATGGAGTTTGATGGGAAGATAGTTCTCTGTGGAGATATCCATGAAGACCTTTCTGTTTCCGTTTACCAAATCTTTCTCTCTTTGAGCTTTTCTCTGAAATCTCTGGTGGTCTTTTCTAGAGGTCCTTGACACCAAGTCTGGCTTAAAATTTTTTTAAATCATTCCCTCTCTTCATCCTTCTGTCTGTTGCTTCCATTACCCTGGTAGCTAAGATCCTTGGGTTGATCCTAATCTCCCTTTTTGAGATTATCCAGCGCTGGATTTAGACTCTTCTGCTCTCATCACCTGTCCAGATACTGAGGTTTCATAAAGCTGTGTTGCATTTATGCTGACTTTGAGATGCCCATGACCTGCTAGGGGTCTTTATTTTCACCTCTTGTCATGTGCTATGTTCATACCCTACACCTTGCCCTGCTCCTTCCTCCTGCTGGGCCCTCTGGCCTCCCCCCTAAGCTGGCTCCAAGCTCCATCCTTCAAAAGTCATTTCTGACCATTTTGGCCCTGTTGAATTCTTCCTTTAGCTCACACACTTTTTTTTTATGATGCGTTTCTTTCATATACTGCTTGTCCCAGACTGCCCAGTTGGATGGTAAATGTTCCATGTGTCCATTTCTTTGCAATGACCTGTACTGTTAAGCTCTTCCTACCCCGAGGAAGGAGAAGGCTCTCTAGTCAGTGCTCCTTTTTGTTATCAAGTCACACTTCACTGCCTGATGCTCAAATCTGAGAACACCATCCCTGCCTGGTACCCAGGGCTTGCAGACTGGCCAGCCAGTTTGGGTTCAAGTGCATTTTAGAAGTTGATCAAACTACCACAGATATGGAGGGACTAGAATATAAAGTGGGTGGTGAGGAGAAACCATGGTTTCTTCGGCAGCTGATTTGAGAGCACTCCCTGTGCCCAGTAATTGTACTGGTTTTGGTTTATAGACTGCTGTGCACTTCAGCATCCGACTTTCTCATTACTACACGTTACATAAAAGTGCCATCTTGGTGTTGGTTTAAATCAGTAGCAACAAGAGAATTAAGTATTTCCCAGAGAAATTGGGCCTCTTCAAAAACCTACGTAAACACTGATGGTGATTACAGAGCTTACATAAGAAGGTAAGGAAGATGGGATCGTTGTGTAACGGTTACTATGAAGGGATTCCAAACATTAGAACAACTCTGGCCTTTTCAGTCGGATGTTTTAAAATCAACATGTTAGTGTTGGATTAAGGCCACCTGTTTATAAATTGTCCCCGTTGTTTGCTGGCTTTGTTTGGCATGAAAGAAAATCTCAAGTGTCCCATTCCTTTTACTGATAATTCTTTTTAAATACAGGCATTATTTTGCATTAAAAAACAAAACAATAAACCCAGAACCTACCATTATCCATAGTCCCTGTAGATCTGAGGAGTGTTTTTGGATGGACCCTGTGTTCTTTTTAGACTTCCTGTCTGGTTCTGAGCTTCTGGAGAAGAGCCTGGTCCCCCTTTGACCTTTGCTGTTAGCACTAAGATTTCTGCCGAGGCCTTTCTCACACCTGGCTTCCTGCTTCCTTCTCCCTGTGCCATGAGTGTGAGAAACAAGGTTATGTCACCTGCTGGGCTCCAGAGCTGACTGTGCAGGGTAGTAGGAGGGAGGGTTTGAGTAGACATTTGGAAGGAGATACAGGGCCATGTCCGTGTTGTGTGTGATGTGGAATCTGACTCAGAACATGGTTCTGGATGGGAGTGGGGTTGTGATGACCAGGGCTGTGGTCTCTGAAATAGGGTCAGATTCGCATCCAGTAATCTGCTTTCTCCAGGTAGCTACAGTCAACAAAGTCAAAGGCAGGAAATACCAATTCTAACATTTTGTAGCCTAATAGATGAAAAACACTGTATGCAATCAATATAAAATTGAACATACTCACATAGTAGCTCTTTGAAGTCTGGCGTGTGTTCTTGTTCCCTAGCGCTGTTCTTGGCCCCCGTGGCCGCTCCATCTCCAGTGCGCAGCAGTGCACCAGCAGGCTGGTGTTTTCTGCCCTGGGTGGTGTAACCGATGAGGTCCATTTGCTGGATCTACCTGAGTGATGTTTTCAGTTTGTGAGCCTCTGGATTTTTGGGTATTTCATAATATACGTCACTTCCTCCCAAGGACTGTGTCATGCTGTACACTCACAGATGAAATGAGGCTCTGTCAGCTTTCCCCTGCTCATTTTTCCTGTTAAACTGAGCAATGTTCATTCTTTCCATGGTGACAAGGAAAACAGTCAGCTCACACTGGCACAGAAGGGGCTGCAGCCAGCTTGCAGTGCTGAGTCCTAACCCTTTGCACCACCAGGGAGGGCCGGTTTTGAACTTCATTTCTTGTTCTAGTTAGTTTTGCCAACAGTTTATTCCAAGTTTTGTCCTCAGGCATGACTTCGAGTTTAACAATGAAAAATATACACATGTCATAGTAAATAGGGGCAGAAATGGTCACTTTTAGCTTTATCCTCTGGACACCAACACTTAGTACTTTTTTTGCCATTTCTTTCTCTTTATGTGAAGAACCTCTATAATGGGATTATCGTGTGTCTTTTGGGATCTGCCTTTTCCTCAATCATTTGATACAATTAAGAATTTTCTATGTCACTGAATACTGATTTTTAAAAATCCCTACAAAATTCTGTTAGAAGACTGCAACTACATTTTTTAACCCTCGTTTTTTCTAATTTTAGACCTTAGTAAAATATTTCCCCCTGCAGTTTTAGGTTAATTTAAGCATTAGTTCAGTGAGCATGGCTCCTAATGAAAAAATTGATCCTATTTTAATTATTTTTTAAAATTCCTTAAGAGTAGAATCACTGGGTCAAAGGCTATGTGTGTTTGTAGAGCTTTTGACTGATGTTGTTAAATAACTGTCTAGAAATGTTATGCCAGTCATTACTCCCACCAGCGGTATATCTAAGTGTCTGCTGTTTAAAGTGACATTCAAAAAAAGTAATTTTTTGGTAATGTCGAATGAATCATAAACGATATTTTTTATTTCTGCTCTTGGATTTTTACATTTTTTTTTCCTAAGAAAGCTTATATATATATTCCTATGAACAGTGCAGTAAGAATACATTAATAAATAAAAAAAAAAATCTACAGGGCATTCTTACAGCCTAACAGACTTTGAAGGATGTCTCAGGTGTCCTGAAAGCAGTGTCCCAGAGATCCTGACTTCCTGGAGCCTTGCCAGATAGATCTTTTTTTTTTCTTCAAGATTTATTTATTTGTGCATACAGAACTGGGGTACAGGCCAGAGGCACAGGGGCAGCGAAAGGCTTCACCAGAGACAGTGGGGAGCAGAACAGGCAGATCGACGAAGTACACTGCTGAGGGGAGCAGTGGGCGGGTCAGGAGAGGTCTGCCACGCCATGTGGTCACCTCGGGGACAGGCGGGGATTGAACTCATGTGGAAGTAGCTTTAGCTTCTCAGTGCTGTGCTTTAACCCGCTGCGCCACCAGGGAGGGCCTGCCAGATACATCTTTAGGTATATCTGTCAGTCTTTGAAATCTCCCTTTTTTGTTAGCCAAAACTTACGAACCAGGTAAATTCAGAAAAATGGATTTCCCAGCATGGATGCAAGAGGAAATTATATATACATAAAGATGGATACTTGGGTACAAATTGTAATCATCGCTGTGGTGGGAACTATGAAGGGAGGGGAGAGATTTGAGGTCGAAAAAGGATTTGCTGAGGAATTCATGCAAACGGATTTGAAAGACTAGGAATTCTGTAGATGTTGCCACATTCTCAGTAGAAAGATAGCCTGCTGATCTCCGGTTTCAATACCAAGGTGTCTGTTGGTTCTGCAGACTGGTCGGGGTCTCCCTGTGACTCACTGCTGAAAGCCCCTCACCCCCAGAGACATGCTGACAGCACCCAGCTGTGACCACATCGGGTGTGATGACCACCCTCCCTGTACTTTCTTGCCCACCAGCTTGATGGCTCTTCCAACATTC